CCTTCCTTCCTTCCTTCCTTCCTTCCTTCCTTCCTTCCTCCCTCCCTTCCTTCCTTCCTTCCTTCTCCTCCTCCTCTCCCTCCTCTTTCTTGTCTTTCTTTCATTGTTTTTGTTTTGTTTTGTTTTTTGAGGCAGGGTTTTTCTATGTAGTCCTGGCTGCCCTAGACTCACTCTGTAGACCAAGTTGGCCTTGAACTCAGAGGTCTACCTGTCTCTGCTTCCCAAGTGCTAGGATTAAAGGTGTGCATCACCACCACCTGGCTAGAGTTTTTCAGCTCTTATGTAAGTGTAAAATTAGTCCTTGGCCAGGCGCAGAGAGGCACATTTTCAATCCCAGCACTGAAGAGGCTGAGGCAAGTGGATCTTTGAGGCCAGCCTGGTCTACATATAGAGTTTCAGGCCAGCCAAGGTTACACAGTGAGACCCTGACTCAAAAACAAAACAAAACAAAAAAAACAAACAAACAAAATTCCCTCTCCTCAAAAAATGTAAAAAGAAAAACAGAAAATCACACCTATTTATACTTAAGAGGCTGAAGCAGGAGGACTGCCATAAGTTTAAGGACCAGCCTGGACTACATAGTGAGTTCATACCAACCTGGGCTACAGAGTGAGACCCAATTTAAAAATCAAAACAAACAAACAAAAACCAGGGGCCTGTGACATGGCTCACTGGGTAAAGGCACTTGCTGTGCAGGCCTGGCCATTTGAGTTCAATCTCTACAACATGTGTAAAAGTGGAAGGAATGAACCAGTTCCACAAAGTTGTCCTCTGATCCTGATTGCATGCTGTGGCATGCATGCACACACCACAGCCTACCACACACACATCATAATAACAATAATGATATAATAATAATAATAATAATAATAATAATAATAATAATAATAATAAGCCGCAAGGTTCCCTGAGACTGATCATCCAGTAAAGGAGCTTGCAGCACAAGCCTGCTGCCCTAAGCTTGATCCCCAGAACCAAGTAAAGGTCAACTTCACAAAGCAGTCCTCTGACCTCCACATGCGCACCATGCCATACATGCCCCCACACATATACACACAATAATAAACACATAAAAAGGAAGAAAACATACAACCACTATAGCAAGACACAGTGACCATTGTTAAAGGCCAAGTGTCCAAGTTTCCAGAGCTGTGGAATTCTAAGAGGCTCCAGACGATCTCCCAGGCACTCATTCGTTTCTTTCTCGAGGCATTAGTTCACACAGATAGCTCCCAGCAGACATCTCATGGACATTCAGACCCCCACCCCATCTTGGTGACTTTCCACGCTCTTCTTGCTAAAAGTGTGTCGCCCACACCCACTTATGATAAGACGATAAGAAGTGGACAAAATAGGGGACCCTCGGAAAACTGTGAACTAGCACTTTCAACAGGGGAAATGTAGACTGAAAGCCACTTGACAGCCACAAGTGCCCAGAAGAGCAGATAAGGTTTTTGGGCAGAGCAAGGAACAGATACTCTTCAGGTCTCACAGGTCAGGTGGGCAGCTGGCCTGTGCAGTTAAGGCCTGTGTCAGAGCTCAGGGGCCAGTTGGTGGCAGTCCGGCGGCCACCCTGCATTTGCTCCCTGGGACAGGCAAACCCATACACCCACACACAGGTTTTCCACCAGCCCAGCCATGACCCCAGAGTAGCCACCTAGGGCTGGGGCTAGGGCACTGTCCCATGGGTTCCAAGTTGGGGAACATGCCCAGGAGTCCTGGATTCTCTGCCTGGAAGTGACTACATCATTGTTTCTCTCTTTTTCTCCCTAGGAGTGTGGCACCCAAGCCCACCACAGGGCTCTGCAACCCCCTGTTCTACACGGGGGACGGCAGCCTGCCAGATAAGAGCAGGCCTCCAGGCCCTCCAGAGGAGGTTTCTGCCAACCAGCCCCTGAGTCCCACAGCGACACCAAAGAGGCTGCTCCTTTTAGGGCTAAGAAAAGAGATTCCTGTTCATCTGGAGGTGAGGAGCCCTGCTGGGAATGACTTCAACAATGCAGTGGGTGGGGAAAGAACTGGAATGAATCTCTACTTTGAAAGCTTTAGTCAGTTGCATTTTGAGACCTTCCAAATCCTTATAGCTTCCTCCCAAGAGAAAGTGTGGGATGGCTTGTCCCTGGAACAAAGGGCCACAGGCTTGCAGGAGGAGAGGGTCTCCTCAGAGTTAAGGCTGTCCCCTTACCTGCTTGGGCTTCAGCTTTGGGAGGGGCGTGGTGGGTGGAACAGGTTTAAGCTGCTGGGAAAAAGATACACAAACTTGAACCAGTTCAGGGCTGGGGGATAGAGCATTACCTCCTCCCTCCTAGGCTACCTGAATCTACCCTTAGGCTCAATTTAATATCCTGCCTAGGCAGGGCTAATTTCTCTAGGGCCCCAGGCCCACAGAGCCAGCCACTAGATACCACCTCCCAGGAGGTTTCCATCTCCCCAGAACACCAATGGCTGTTTCCCAAGGCTTACCAGATCTGGCACCTGCTGGGCATAAACTGGAACTGGGAGTGGTGGACCGGACACAGCAGCTGGAGGCTTCAAGGAACAGAGATGTGAGCCTGGGCCCAAGAAGCAGTGCTAAGCCCTCTACCCATGCTCACCAGGTCCCCTGTTTTAGGACCCAAGGCTCTTACACTTCCTAAATGGTACACCCCCCCCCCCCGCCACCCTGTGCACCCTTTCCTGCCCATCCTAGCTAGATACATGGCATCCCATTCCCCAGCTATGTTGTCACCTGTCACACTTAAGGAGGAGCAAGGGCATCCTCCTCTCACAGCTCAGGTCTGGGAGCCCTCAAACCCACAAGTCCAAACTCCTTAGAACCAGGTCTTGACTTAGGCCCTCTCCCTCCCTTGGGGTGATTGAAATTCTTCTCAAGGATTTCAGGCTATTGCAGGGCTCATGAGTTAATTTGCACAAAAAGGCTTCACTATCCCTAATGGGCCACACCCTGAGGCAGAGGGATGGAGAGCCTACATTCCCTGTGGTGATATTCTGTGTACTTGTGGGGCACGAATTCATGAAAAGGCTGCTTGCCTGTGGCTTTGCAGCCACCAGCTCAGGCCAGAGCTACACTCAGCCAGAGCCACTACCCCACCCCGCTAGGTTTTCCTTTCTTCTTCCCCAAGCCTCTGAGGGAATCTGGGGGTTTTCTCTGTTGTAGCCTCTCTGCAGCAGACTCCACAGGCTTTTGGGCTCCCCAAACTGTAGGAGTTAGCCACTTTTGCACATATTGCACCCCCCATCCCCACTCCCACCCCCGCACACACTGTGCAGACAGCTGGCTCTTTGGCTTCTTCCCTCTCCTGGTTGTGGGCTGTCCCTGGACTCCCTCCTCAGGCTGCTGCCAAACTAGGTAGCAGCCTTGGAAAGCAGCTCAGGCTTCTCCAGGTCTACACACATCAGTCAGCCTCATATCTTCACCGTCATCTGAATCGCCATCATCGGCAGATGTGGTGAGACAACTGGGAATTCTTAAAGGGAGGAATTAGTTAAAAGAGAGAGTTTTTCCCACATTAAAAAATGGGAAACACTATTACAATGGAGGGAGTTGGGACTCTGTATGATAATATGCTGGACAATTTGAAAATAGAACAATTAAATGAGGATAATTAATTTAGATGGGATTTATGTAATGTCAATTATAAATATTATTGTTCGATCATTTTTGTTTTATCATTAAGAAAGTTGGTTAATATGAGTGCCCAAATAAGAGTTTTAGAAAAGCTTACTAAAACAGATATTAGAGATATTTAGACTTAGAGGAATTTAAAGAAGAACCAATCTCAACATTGATTATAGGGTTAGAGAGGAAAAGCCTAAGGTTTTCAAACAACCAATTTTAATTTATCCAGTAACCTTACAAGAACTGCCAAATGATAGATATCCCCAAGGCTGTGTAAGAGCTGAATGGATTCCTATGCAAATGTTAGATTCTAGGAGATTCAAGAAAGTGATAGTCTTATATGGCATGCATTCACCTTTTGTGAAGCAGATGTTAAACTTGTGGTCAACTCGTAATAGAATTATCCCTCAAGACTGGAGAGACTTCGTCACAGCAGTCTTGGAGCCTGGTCCTCAGTTACAGTGGAGGACCTGGTGGAAAGATGAGGCTAAGACCATTGAACAACAAAGTAGGGACAGAGGTACGGTAATCTCCCAAGACCAACTTCTTGGAGAGGGAGATTATGCTGATGTAGAAAGGCAATGTATATATAATGATCACACCCTGGCTTTATGCCACATAGAAGCCTTGAATGCTTGGGGCAGAATTGAAGAAGTAGGAAAGAAAATTGAGTCATTTACAAAAGTTATACAGGGTCCAAAAGACACCTTCACTGATTTCTTACAAAGATTGACTTCAGCAGTAAATATAATGATAACAAATTCAGAAGCTAGACAAATAATAGTTGAATTTCTGGCTTTTGAAAATGCTAATGCACAATGCAAAAGAGTAATTAGGCTGTTAAAGGCAAGATTAGCAGCCTTGGAGGAATGAATCTGAGATACAGTCAATATTGAATCTCATAACTACGGTGATGCTTGGATAGGAGAGGTGATTTCCAGAGGTTTGAAGAAAAATCAAAATGTCAAGTGTTTCAATTGTGGTAAACAAGGTCACCTAAAAGAAGATTATAAACAAACAGGGTGTTCCTAGAAACAATGTTTTTGCTAAAAATAATCCCAACAGAATACCCCTCCCTTCTGGGTTATGTAGAAGGTGTGGCAAAGGCAGGCATTGCACTAATGAATGTGGATCAACAAGAGACAGACAAGGTAACCCTTTGCCTTAGGGAAACACCTTGTGGGGGCCTCTTCCAGGCCCTGTATCAAATTCAGTTCAGTTGTCCTGTCATTGTGGAGGAAACTCCTTCCTAGAGCAATTAAAACCCTTTTTTAGATTTACTGCATATGACATTTAAAATGTTTAAGTTTTCTGCAATGAACCATGACTACACCTAACAGAGACCTTTGAAGTCTCCAAAAAGATGATGGGGCCCCACAATGCCAATTCCACCAAGACAACAACACCACTAAGTTGACAAACACCACCCAAAGATCAACATTGAACTGCAACTGCTCAGGACAGTTTCCAGGTGTCTAGATGATATGATCCAGCCTCATAGACTACTCTAGCCAGGACTTGAGATAAGCCCTGTATTTTCCCATTTTGCATAGACTGAACAACAAATGATACAGCTACCTCTCCCAGGACTTGACAATTAACCCAATTATTTTTCTTTTTAGGGTGCCCTAAAGATGCCTTTGCCCCCAGACAGCAGGAAGTAAATTTAAGAATATGATGCCCACATTCCCAAGAGGTGTGGTATGTGGCTTTTGGTCACTCAGTGGGTTATGGATGTTTGTCATTGTTTAGGGTTGTTGGTTACAAGTTGTTGGTAATGGTCAGGAAAAAAGTTGAACAAAGAAGATTATATTCAGTGTTCTTATTTGAAAAAAATAAGGGAATAGAGATATGATAGGGAAAAGGGTAATTATTGAATCCACTCTGAAAAAAAGATACAGATATGATAAGATAAAAGGGTAGATTATTGAATCTATTCTGAAAAGAAAAAAGGGGAATATGGATATGATAAGATAAAAAGGTAGATTATTGAATCTACTTTTAAAAAGCAATTACTAGTTTTAAATGTTTTACATTGAATTGGATTTTTTTTTTTTTTTTTTTTTGGTTTTTCGAGACAGGGTTTCTCTGTGTAGCTTTGCGCCTTTCCTGGAGCTCACTTGGTAGCCCAGGCTGGCCTCGAACTCACAGAGATCCGCCTGGCTCTGCCTCCCGAGTGCTGGGATTAAAGGCGTGCGCCACCAACGCCCGGCAAATTGGATTTTTGTATATTGTACATAAATTGTGTATACTGATAGAAGTTTGAGATTAATTTTGTTAGAACATACTGTACATACATTTCTACTCTCATTCAAGGCATTGTACCTATACATCTCATTTAACAATGTAATGCAAATTGCTAGTCCTTGAAAGTTATTATTACAAACTATTTAGGATAATAAAGAAATGAAGGTTAGTAGTTAGTCATCTATTACAATCAAACTTGTAGTCATATTAGGTATATTTTCAAGGTCAAACAGAGATATATTTTAGATAGCCAGATCAACACTTCAGAGATCTACAGAATATGACATTTAAGATGTTTTAATAACATAGGTTCTTTTTATTTTTATGACAATGAGACATGTCTGCTCATGTCAGCACCAATCTTTTTCAGAGAAGATGATGGGCATTGAAGAAACTCCATATGGAGTTTACTTTCTTTGTGGCAAATTAGCCACTGAGCAAGAAAATGCCCTTGCCTCGACTGTTGAAAGTATGCTGTTCAAAATGGACAAGCAGGACACAAATAAAGGACTACTGAACTTTGCCAAGACAAGGTAGGACAACCCTTCAGAAAACTCTGCTTCACAAATAAGTCTGTCAGATATGCTAAGCCTGTAAGTTAAAGATGGATGCCCCAATGTTGCAGAGGAACCTTGAGTGACTGTCCAGGCAGTCAGCTGTTTCTATCATTTCTCACATTTTTTTTAAGTTGCTTGCACTTCTTGTTTACTTAGATAATATTATTTCCTTCTTGGGTCTCTGATGGAGTTGAAGACTAGATAGTTATATTTATAGTCTTCCATTTTAACAAATTCAGATAAGAAATTCAATAAAGAAGTGTAAAGTGTGTAAGTTTGAGAGACATGAAGAGATAGTTTTCAGTTGGTAATACAAGTTAGGATAGAAAAATGAATTAGGTACAACACTTTGGACTCACCAAACTAGGATAAATAATGGAGTATTTTCTCTGAATTTGTCAAATTTTAGTGGATTAGACATTATTGATGTAATTATTGCCTGTATATAGTGTACTTATATATAGTTTTTCTTTTTCTTTTTTTTTTTAGTTTTTCTTATATTAGTTATAAACTTGTTTATTTTAGACAAAAAAGGGGGAATATAATATTTTGTGTATGCTCTAACAAATAAATCTTACCTGAAGATCAGAGGGCAGAGCCAGCCACTAGTTACCATAGAGGCCAGACAGTGGTGGCACACACCTTTAATCCTAGCACTGGGGAAGAGGAAGCAGGAAGAACAGGAGTTCAAGGCTACCCTGGGCTACATGAAATTGAATCTGTCTAAAAGAGAAACAGAGTGAGGTGGTGGTGGTGGTGGTGGTGGTGGTGGTGGTGGT